GGTCGAGCCGGCCCATTCGTGCCGCATCAAAATCCGTTGCGTAGTTTTAAAGATCTAAGCATACATACGGACATACAGCGAAAGCGACTTTGTTTTATACTATGTATTGATACAAATTAATGGGTACATCTCCCAAGTCTGCGGTGAAATGGGACCAGTTCAGCATGTGCAAGGCAGGGTCTAGCGCTGGTATTCTACTTCCTTAAGTGATTTCTTTTTGAAAATAGATATCGTTTTTACCGTCGACAGTCTTCAGTTTTTGGATGCGTCCCGTCTAGACCGTGTATGTTGTAAACTAATTAAGCTACGGTTTTTACGTCTCTACATAAAAACCTCTTTAGGGACGATATTTCAATCAGTTAATTCTTAACTTTCTTAACTGCAGAATAAAATTGATATTTGACAGCTTTAGTATGGAAGTATTGTCAAATATTCAAAGCTATTCCTCAGTTAAAATTTAACTGAGTATTTAAAAACGGACCTGTATATGTAATATTTTACTTGACCAGTTTTTTTTAATAACTCGACTTGTTCCTTTTTAAGAGAATAAGTTAAAATTGGGTTGTAAATTATTTTTTGGTGAAGGTTTATTCGAGTTGTTGTGATGTTTTGAGCGCCTGTTTCACAATCTATGCTTAACAAGCTTCTGCCAGCGGCTTCGACCGCCTTCCCGTTGGATATAAAGTTGCCTATGTGATATTCCAGACCATAATCTACCCCTGTTCCAAATTTCATCTCGATCCCTTCAGCCGTTTTTACGTGAAGGAGTAATAAACAAGAAGACAAATATTGCAGGATTGACTTCTGCCCGCAATTTCGTACGCACATTCCCATTTTTCCCGATCTCGTGGGATTTTAAGGACATCCTCTCTTAGTTCTCCCCTACACTCCTCAAGCAACATACATGCTGAATTACAGTTTCCTAGGTCTTGTACTTTCGGTTGTGCATTGTCTGTCAAAAAATTAAATAGATAATCGTAAATCCTGAGCATTTTTAACGTAAACCACCATGCTTGTTCAATGCGGGTTGGCGATTTCAAACTTATAATTAGAAATTATAAGGCCATGTTTCCTCCCGATGTTTCCTTCACCGTTTGTCAGTGGTGTCTAAATAATCTTAGAAAGTACATATAACTCGGAAAATGTCACATTGGTACTTGCCGTTGGTACGTTTTGAACTTGCATGAGAAATGGGCGTCCTAAAATTATGGGACACCATGATATTATTAAATAGATTGATAAAAAGGCTATTCTTATGAAAACAAATATATCATAATAGCTCATAAAATGGGTAGTAAAATACTATTGTTTAAGCATTAACAAACATAATAATATCAAGTCGTAAAAAATGCATAAAGATTCATTAAATTGTGCAAATAATTTATTCTTAGAATTCGTTTAAAAATATTTCGCCATTTTTAAGCAATTGAGTGCAACAGTTGTATTCGAATTTATTATTTTGTAACTGTCATTTTGAAATGTCAAATTAGATAATTCTGCGATCGTTAAGAAATCTAGTCGAGTTTTTAAACGGTTTCATTTGGCTTGCCCCGTGTGTTTGTCTGGGTCTGTAGTAATTGTAATTTCATCGCCTTCCTGGCATCATCGATCTGATATTCGGTACACACTCTTAATCTTGATGACCATTCAATATAATCAAATTGTTTCCACAACTACCTCCATTATGGATATCAAACGAAACGGCTTGATTCGTAGAATAGAGCTCATTGAAATCGTTTAACTTAAAAAATGAGTATTACTAAGTTCCTTTGATTGTGTCGTTGGTCCTGTTGCGATTTGCGAAATGAGACTGCTGAGCTAACCAATGTGGTTTCAGGTTAATTCCCAGTTTTTTCAATGTTCAGAACGTATTTGAAGCCCAGTGTTTGATAATAGGTTCACCAATTTTATATACAACTAAATTCTGCTATGCGGATATAAAAAGCCCATGTGTTATTCTACCCCTGTTTCAAATTTCATCCCGATCCCTTCAACCGTTTTGATATGATTGAGGAACAAACATACAGACAAACTTTGCCCTTTATAATTCATAATATTATGTATAAGCAAGATTAGTTAAATGCGCAATCAAAATAATCCGAGTAGGAGTTTATTTAAATTGAAATTAAATTATATTTTGTATTAGAAAAAAGAGTTTTTATAAAAAACTGGTCGACTTTTTCTAGCTGTACCTAATTTTAAGTAAAATTTTTATTTTTTAATTTATTATAATCGCATTTATTTCTAATGTTTTGAAACATAGTACTTTAAGCCAATCTCTCTAAGAGTATTATTTATAAAATTTAATTTTATTGTTCGACTTGGCGATGCGCTGTTGTGCATACAATATTATTTTGCCTATATCGTATTATTCCTCGTAGATTTTTAATAAATAAATAATTTTATTTAACTGTATTGTTTTATTTGACGACGTTATAAAATATATGGTTTGATCACGATTTGCTTCGTCACGTCAGGATCGTGATTAACATGCTTTTTTTTTCATTATAACTCGATTTTATTTTCTTATGGGACTGCCTCGTTGGCCGAGTGGTCGCAAGTGTGACTGCCGGCCAAGGGGTCTCGGGTTCGATTCCCGGGTCGGGCAGTGTATTATTGGGTTTTTAAAAAAGTTCTCAGAAGTAGCATGGTGTTTAGAATTGTGCCCGATATATGGCAATAGGCTCACCCCCTATTACATGGGACTTACAACATAAATAGTGAAAAGTGGGTGTTACATTGTACAGTGGCATTAAGTGCCGAAATATGCACCTATGCCTATCCCTTCGAGGATAAAAAGGCGTAATGTTATGTTATGCTATGTTATATTTGGGTCTTTTGGAACCATTTCAAGGGGAAAAATACTGTAATGTGTTTAATTATTATTAGCTGTGGCCCACGACTTCATCCGCGTCGAATAATATTATTCCTGTTTTATCCCATGGGAGCATTAATTAGGATACAGCCCATACCCTGCTTGCCTGCAAATTTCATCAAAATCCGTTCAGAAGTTTCAGCGTCATTGACGTACAAACATACAAACAATAGTGTGATAACAGTCGCGGAGAACCTAACGGATAACCGGGGCTCCGGCTCGACGTGCAGGAGAAGGAACGGGGTGGTTTTTAGTCAGTAAGATACAGTGACACTCCTGACTCCATCTGACACTCCGTCCCGCGACTTTTCCCCCTTAAAAAAAAATAGTGTGATGACAAGAAATTATTTGTATTATACACCCTCCTTGCATCGTCCATAATGAATTAAAAAACAATCTACTAAGTGGCAACCTTTTTACAAACAGAAATACCTGGCAACTAAAAAATAATCCACCAACACGGTAACCATAGCAACGAGAGAAACAACAAAAGACTGTTTATAAACACGAGTGACGTTAGCACAACGTATTTAGCTTAATTGTTTTAAAAAATAATAACAATGTCCAACCTTAGTGGCTATGATGGAGAGGCGGTCGGTTTTGACTCAGTCAAACTGAATAAAACCGAAGAAAAGCACTCCTCAACTCAAACCACTGAATATAGCGAGTCTGGAGTATCCTCGCAGACAAATGTCTCCAAGGAAACCGGGTCTTTAGTCACGGCTGAGGATTTAAACGCTCAAGAAGAAGTTTTAAAAGAATACCCACCTCCTTTACTAACCGAGTTTTTGAAGAAGGTCGTCCCAAAAATGCTGGAACAGCTAGACAATAGTGATAAGGAACCGCTGTACAATTCCTCCGATTCTGACGAGGAAGAGGTCATAAATGCGAAGTTGTTTCAAGAGATTACACTGACGGACCTGCCGGGGATGGGAGGAGGAGACCAGTCGCGTTGTATTCTTGATATGTCATGGAGCAGCGCTGGGAATTCCTTCGCGGTTTCCGTTGGCAGACTCCAGCACGTGAACTGGTGTGTCGAAGATGGTTTGATCCGAATTTTTACTATAAAAAGAACAGCTGGTGACACGTTTGTTCGGACCTTAGATTTGACTGAGAAAAGCTGTGTAACTAAACTCCTGTATCACCCAACGGTGTCTGCTTTATTAGCGTACGGAACAACGTCTGGAGAAGTAGTTCTATGCAATTTAAGGAATTTAGACGCCATTTTACTAACGTCGCCAGCGGGAGTCCATGAGTCGAAGCGTGTAACAGGCCTGTACTGGGCTGACCCCGCTCTTGCTAACATCTTTCTAACTATGCATATCATGAATACTGGAAAGAGACGGGGAGCATCTGACCAGATCTTAATCTCAGCTGGCTGCGATGGTACCATCAACGTGTGGCGAGTGAACGCCAACCAAAAGATATTTGAAAATGTCGTCTGCTATTGTTTAAATGGCTCACGGAATATGGACTCGGTTAATATAAGTTGCTTCGACTTTATAAAGACCTATCCTTTGCGTCCCAGCGAGGAGAAAGTTGCAGATGATATTTTTGTCGTCGGGTGTACTTCTGGAGGTCTGTACCTTTGCAAGATAAAGACTTATCAGCCGATCGTTGATAGCAAATGCGTTGATCCAGTATATGAGGTGTTTCAAGGACATATCGGTTATATGCTGGATGTGGCGTTTAGTTACGAGAAGCCTGGAGTCTTCGTGTCTGCTTCAATAGATTCAGAAGTTAGAATCTATGATATTAACCAACCTAGTCCTTTAAAGGTTTGTATGGTTTCTTGAAGTATTTTCTTCTATCGACTATTGAGAAGTCTGGTTGTAGATTTACTACAAATATTTGTACCCCGAGTATTAATATTTATATAGTAATGTTTTGCTCAACTACTTAAGTATATATATCAGAAGAATACACGGATTATACCTAAACTTGCTCCTCACCGGGAGCATTCACGTGTAATGTAACATTATAGATTCGACTTTGAGCATTACATTACAATAATACCTCCCTGACTAATGAGCATTTGCGTGTACTTAATGTAACATATTGATTCGACTTTGAGCATTTCATAGCAAGATGTCAGACGAAGCGGGCGGGCGGGGGGCGGGGGGAAGTGGAGCACATTGATGCTACAAGTTGTATCAAGATATTACACATTGTGTCATTACAAGGTGCGCATTGTGATGCTCGGTTCTGCTCCTTCACTGATGTAATGCTCAGATCTGTAAAGTAACATTACACGCGAATGCTGCCAGTGAGGGAACACCATAATTTTAAGTATAGCTTTTTACGCCACTGAGTTAACAAGTTAACGCGTGGTGGCCCTGAGGTTTAAGACGCTTCTCATGAATGAGGGTGCGAGTTCGAAACCTATCAACGACAAGTACCAATGTGACTTTTTCTGAATTATAATGTACTTTCTAAGATTATTTAAATATCACTGACAAACGGTGGAGGAGCTTAATTCATTCTGTCTGCTGCAGTAATTCACCGAGGGAAGTGGAAACTATCGTGTTTTTTCTTTTCCTCTTATAATATTTTCTGATTTACTTCGTTGCGGGAACCAAGACAGTTACTCATGTCCCTGGGACGCGCCGGACTTCAGTGTTCAGGTGTTTTTATGGTTGTATCTACTGTAGCTAACAGAAGTTGCAGCGGTTATGGGAGGTAGTGGCGGGCTTGCCCCATTAAAAAATAACGGCGAAGGAAAGCATCATGAGGAAACTTGGGCTTATAATTTCTAATTATAAGTTACAAGTGCTTTTAAGAAATAGGTTAGTAGTTTCCGGTAACTTCACTTTCAATCAGAGTACACCTTGGAACCGCTTTTAAAACTGTCAGTGAAGCTAGAGCTCCAATTTCCAGGTTATCCACATTGACAAGGCTATCTCCTGCATGTCCTGGCTGCCAAACAACCCTTGTGTCCTCGTGATGGGGCTGGCGAAGCCTGATCCTCAACTGCTGCAGGTAGGCGCCAAGATAATATAAGTACTCATCGAGAGATATACAACCATTCGGTAGTGAATTTTGCCCACCATTTTCATGTTTAACATCACGCCTTTTATCTCCGAAGGGGTATGCAGAGGTGCACATTATGCCACTATACAATGTAACACCCACTCTTCACTATTTATGTTATGAGACCCATATAATAGGGGCTACTGCCATATACCGGGCACAATTCCAGGCTCCGTGCTACTACTGAGATTTTTTTTAAAACCCAGTAGTACTTCACAGTCGCACTTTCGACCACTTTACTTGTCTAAATAATGACTTAGCAGCAAGTAATTCCTTGTTTATAAATACGGGGGTTAGTGTGGGAGAACCTTACGAGTAACCGGGGCTCCGGCTCGACGTGTAGGAGAAGGAACGGGGTGGTTTTTAGTCAGTAAGAGTCTGACACTCTCTCCCACCTCACCCAGGCGGGAGCAGTCATTCGATGATTTTCTCCCCTTAAAAAAAAAGGGTGCGACTGTGATACAAAATTTTTATAAAAAAGAAACGGATAGGTATACTGCATTTGACAGTAAAGAAAGAGCAACCAGCATTTCTCTTCTTGATAAGCCTTTTATTTTTTGATATGTTTTTTCTAATACAAAAAAAAATCGCATTCCCTATGGTAGAATGTACCAGGAACGATATAACTTTGTAAGACCTTATATTATTATGTACCTACGTCGTGGAGGACCTAACGGGTAACCGGGGCTCCGGCTTGACTCCAGGAGAAGGAACGGTGTGGTTTTTAGTCAGTAAGAGTCTGACACTCCCTCCCGCCTCACCCAGGCGGGAACAGTCATTCGATTATTTTCCCCCATTTAAAAAAACCAACATTCAATGCAAATAAATTATTCTATTATATTCTGTATTAATTGGTAACATATGTCATATAACGGGCAATTTAATTACATTTACAAAGAGAGAATTTTGTTGTGAACGGAATATGTGTTTTATTTAAGACTTTTACTGCCAATAAAAAACGGTTGAAGGCAAATCCTCAGCTAATGTCGGTCACCGGTGACTGCCATGGCGTTTAACGTGTTAAGTTATAGAGAGTTCGATATAATGAAAAAGAAAAACATTAGTGGCTCCGTTGGTTTGCTTGCAAGACTAGATTTATTTATCTCTAATATCTACACAGGTGTACAATGTGAACAGCGGCCGTCGTGTGCCAGTGGAAGGTCTAACTGGCAGCGGTGGATGTGTCGTCTGCATCAAAGTCAACCAGACGAGGTGAGATACCGCATTTGTACTCAAAGTCATTATAATTTTTAAAGTCGACGTCAAAATCCTTGAGGTATTTCAATTATTACCAATTGGCGTTCCAGTCTCTGCCTACCTCTAAAGTTATGTATGTCAAAATCTTTTAGTTTCCTATATTTTGATTCAATGTCCGTCTGGTACCTAGATTATTTAAATCATTAGACACGTATTTTTTATTTTCTTACAGAAACAAATACTTTCGACGATATATTGATTTGAAATATCGCGTGACGTCACTTCTAGGTACGATTTATACGTAGAAATGACGTAGTTAGCTCCCACTCCTAAAGTTTCACTCGTTTTATCTAACTATTGTTTTCTTACACGATAGGTATTACAAAATATACGTGTCTAATGTTCTAAAATAATATACCAGACGGACATTAAAATAACAATTAGTCATCTACCTTAGGTATTGGAATATACTCAGTAAAATCTATTTCGTTTTCGTCTCGCGGCAAAACAACTTGCCATAAGGAGTACTTTCGAAGTATAAAGTAAACATAAAAAAATAAAGATGTCATATTTTTACTTAAAAAAATTATTGGAAATACGCACATGAAACACTAGACGTAAATTTGTAGGCACTATTCGCATCGCACGTGCAGCCGACGAGAAATACCTCGTCGACAATGACATGGCGTGATGTTTTGATAATGTACTATGAGTTCGTGCGCTCTCGAAGTTTGCTTCTTGCAATGGTTCACCAGTTGTTTTTATTTGTTTGTAAAACTATTGTATTACCGAGACAGAACCATTTTTCTTCGGGACGAAAATGAAATATTTATTTATTTATTGCAAAATGTATATATATAGCGGTATTATACTACTAGTGCAGTACATCACCCTGTTAGGGCGCAGCAATTTAACTTATAAATAATAACTAAATAATCATCTAATATATTATGTACTTATTCTGTTCATTATTAACTTGATTAATCACTATAAACTTATTATTGTTAAAATTTCTTATCAATTATATGATACAATTATATTATTTTATACATTATTTATTACATATTTTAATTACAAACATTACAATTAATTTAAAGTAGTTTCAAGTTTAAATAATTTAAAATAGATGTCACGGTGTAAAGAAGGAACGTCTATAATTTGTTCTCTTATTTCTATAGTGTATGTCGCATCGCCGCAGCGGACTCCAGTGGCAACGTTCGAATCTGGGAGCTACCGACGCGTCGCATCAAGATTACACCAGGCGACCTAGAGTTTTAGGTAGCCTAGCTCTAAATACTAAAATACTAACAAGTAATACATGAAATTAACTAGCGGCTTGCCTCGGCTTCGCCTGGATGCTGTTTTCTGATGCACCCGTTGTTTTTTTATGGAATATGAGGCAAACGAGCAGACGTATCACCTGATGGTAAGCGAGCAGCGCCGTCCATGGACACCTGCAACACCAGGAGTCACAGGACTCACAGGTGCCTTGCCGGCCTTAAAGGAATACGTATTGAATCTACGAATGTACCTATTGAGTCTTTCATTTATGCAAACCGAATTAATAACTATATTAATATTTTGTTATCGTTAGAACAATTCGATATAGTTATTCGATTGTAATTGGCGTAAGAATTTGGTAAACCTCTTATTATTATATTATGACTGTCGTCAACTGTCGTATGACACACTAAATTAATTATGTATTACTTTTCTGGCTTGCTCACGTAATTGTTTGACGAGGAACTCGACTGGTTTCAAGCCATGCTAGAGGCTTATATCAGTCATCAGAGGCCTTAGTATTTTTTTTTTTTTAAGGGGGGAAAATCATCGAATGACTGCCCCCGCCTGGGTGAGGCGGGAGGGAGTGTCAGACTCTTACTGACTAAAAACCACCCCGTTCCTTCTCCTGCACGTCGAGCCGGAGCCCCGGTTACCCGTTAGGTTCTCCGCGACAGAGGCCTTAGTATAAGTTTGTTTTAGGTTTAAAGTAATCGTAACGAGTACGCGTTCGGCGCTGTGATTGGTTGCTTCATTGTAAATGAAACTCGTACTAAGGCCTCAGACCACCACAGATAAGGTCCAATAAGACTGACGCCGATACGGAGCCGCGGAGGACTTAATGGGTTACCGGGGCTCCGGCTCGAAGTGCAGGAGTAGGAACGGGGTGGTTTTTAGTCAGTAAGAGTTTGACACTCCCTCTCGCCTCATCCAGGCGGATGAAGTCATTCGATGATTTTCCCCCCTCAAAAAAAGCATGGCTTGAAACTAGTCGAGTTCCTCGTCAAATAATTACGTGAGTAAGCCGAAAATATAATAATTTAGTTCCTATGTCCCACGGAAGTTATAATATAAAGTATGTTATATATATATATATGTTCAACCGTTTTAACGTGCACACTCGTGTAAGCGACACGTGTTAATGACGATCTCCTTCTTTCAATACAATTAAAACAAAATAATCCAAACACGGGATACCAGTACAAAGTGACCGTCGAATGTTCGGGAAGATTATACGAAGGGAGCTCATGATATACTGGTTTTATCTATCCAGTATAAGCTGGCCGTCGAGTATGAGGAATGGTCGTACAACGCCAGTCCATGACATACTGGTTATAATGTGCAGCTCAGTTAATGTATGTACGTAAAAATATTGTTTACTATGCATGTTTGTTCATATGTTCCAGTATTGCAATTACTTTGAACTGACGTATTAGCAATTTTCTGTTTAATTTGCAATAATTCATGCTTAATAAAGAGTTAAAAACTACCTATATGTATGTACATACGTAACACGCCTTTTATCCCCGAGGTGTACATTATGCCACTGTACAATGTAACACCAACTTTTCACTATTTATGTTATGTTATGAGTTCCATGTAATAGGGGGTGAGATACTGCCATATTATTATACCGGGCACAATTTCAGACTCCGTGCTACTACTGACAATTTTTTTAAATCCAGTAATACTTTGCCCGACCCGGGAATCAAACTCGAGACCTCTCGCCAGGCAGTCGCACTTGCGACCACTCGGCCAACGAGGCAGTCATTATATATATGTATATATATAGGTACTATATGGATATCCACAATTCCAATCTAATAGGTTCAGTGGTTTAAATGATAGAGATGACATTTGTAACAGGTATAGATTGTGGTCTGATGTTTAGACTATAATCTTCCTCGATAAATGGACTATATACAACACAAAAAGAATTTTCCAAATAGGACCAGTAGTTCTTGAGATTACTGAATCAATTCTGACGACATTTGTTACCGTGGAATGTCCCTTGGTCCAAAAGCCTAAATTCTGCCAGAAATCATTATACTACGCAGACCAAGTCGTGGGCAACCGCTAGTTATATTAATAAATAAATAATTATAATTATGTATGTAGCACAAGAAATGTATTTTTAGTTATTATGAACAATTTATTTTGCTTCTTGTTTTATAAAATAAAAATGATTATAAAAATATGTACTGCGTTTCATTTTACCGCCATATCCACGCTTAGCAAACAGTTTAGAGATTGCAGTATAAAAGGTTCATGTTTGTCAGAGAGCGCTGCAGACTGCCCAGACTCTATGGAAATAAATATCATCAGCCTATAAGTGTCCACTGCTGACCAAAGGCCTCTTCTCACACGGAGAAGGTTTGAGCATTAATCACCACGCTTGATTATAAAGAGGATAAAAATGCTTGGAG